ACAGAGAAGCCATTGGAACTATAGATTTACAGCTAGGAATTAACAAAAATTGAGTTATGTAATAAATGGCGGGAGACTGGTTATTGTCCATACAGTGATTGTTTTGAGTTTGCGCACAGTCATAAAACAGACGTTTATAGAATGATTCTCTTGCCCTTACAGCCATTTTTGTCGTTTTCGGCATTCCCTAGTCAACAAGGAGGTTTGGAGGAAGTCATGATCACCAAGAACACAATCTCTCGTTTTCTAATCAGTTTGATTTCTTTTACAAGTGACTACAGCTAGTGGCATGGCATGTAAACATCCAGGTGAACAAGATTGAAAAAAATGAAATGTAAATACATGCAACGGTATTGACTTTTTTTAAATAGTTCTATCGAACTGGATATGGACTTGCTAGGCCCGAGCTTTTTGGGTTGGACTTGGGCTTTTTGGGATCTTTAATTGTCGGCATCCAATATGGCCTTAGATCCAACATCAATAAAAATATTGGAGGTTCAAGGATGAATAACCTCGAATATATTTTCCGTACAAATAAAATGACAAAATATATAGTATTGTATTTTCAGTTTTTTTATTACAATAATGTATTTTTAAATTATTATTGTTAAGACATTGTACTTTTGAAAATTTTACCTATATAACATTGACTAAGGAGTCGTTTACCAAACACTTACTCGGTAAGTGATTAGGGGTAAAATTTAACACTATCATTTACTTACCGGGTAAGATTTTAGTCCAACAAAACGACATCGTATGCAATAATTTACCCGGTAAGCGCTTACCATGGTAAGAGTCGTCGTCCTCACTTACTAGGTAAAACTCTTGATATTTGTCTCTCTCTTACCGGGTAAGTTCTTGGTCCTTACCATGTTCATCAGGTGAGGTAATGTGATTTGGTAAGCGCTTACCCGATCAAGCGTTTGGTAAACGACCTCTAACTTTTAATTTAAATGTACCTATTCCACCATATTTTCATGCACCTCAATGTCCATGTAGGTCGTCTACATGTAATATACCGTTGATTGTGACATTTTTTATTACAGCATTGCACTTTCAAAAATATTTTGTTATAGCATCATCAGTTCCTATTACAACATTATACTTTTAGTTTTGGTATTTTATTATTTAGACATTGTACATTTAATTAAACATATTTATCTAAATTTAGTGACGGTTTCTAATCCTAAATTTTAATTAAAAATTTAGTCTCCCAAATTCGAGATTATAGTACTAATTAACATTTTGATTTGAATTAAGATGATATAAACATAAGCTATCAAATTTCCATGTCATGTCATTGTCCACCAAATTTCTATGTCATGTCATTGTCTACATGTAAAATTTTGCTGACGTGACATTTCTTATTACAATAGTATACTTTGGGGGAAATTTGATTTTACATATCATTCAATAAGAAATTTTCTAAATTAATGATTAATATTTCAATATTAAGAAAATTAGTAGAACACAATTTATCTTGCTAACATTTTAAAAAATATGTATTTTCTAAAGGGAAAAAAAAGAATTGTTACGTTTTTTACCAATAAATATTTATCTTTTAAGGAATATATTATATTTGTTTTAAAAAACTAGAAGCGTACTCGCGCAATGCAGCGAGATACATCATGATTTTAATATTTCATTTTCTTCTTTATCTCAGTCGATATTATAATATGGCTTTATGTGATTTTGAGAAAACGATAATGTTTTTATTTTTGAATAAAATATATGTTTGAAGATATCATAAAAACTTGACAAAAATATATCGATATTAGTATTAAATTAACTATTTGAAATTCCTCATTTTTTTGTGTAAATTTTTAATTCAATTTTTTTATAATTTAATTTATGTACAATAACGAAATAATTTATATTTGGTTTAATAATATAATTTTTTTATAAAGATAATAATTATTTATTTTGGTGGAACTCGATAATTATTCTAATTATATTTTAG